AAGGTGTAGTGGTAGTAATAGTGGTTGTTGGTGTTGTAGTTGGAATTGTTGTAGAAGGAGGTGAGGTTTTTGGACAGACACAACATTTGAATCTAATCTTATAATCAAAACATTGTCCTTGAGGCCCTTGTTGGTCATTGTGGCATATGAGGCCCACATCTTTGTTACAAGTCACAGCTTGTCCAACCTGTGACATGGAAAGTGTTGGGTAAAGAACAGCTCTACATTCGACTTCAGCGGGACGTGAGCAAATGTGGTAACCAGCAGAGATTACTTTGTGGATAGATTCATCTTCTCCACCGTTAAGGCCTGGTGTGGGTTGGCCAAGATTAATCCATTCTGACCATCCACATGTCATATTATGTCCATCAGGGCAAGGTGCAGGTGTAGTTGGGTGAGCAGTAGTTGTTTCAGTTGTGGTAGAAGGTGTAGTGGTTGAAGTTGTAGTTGAAGGTGGTTGAGTTGTACTTGTTTCAGTTGGGGTAGAAGGTTTAGTGGTGGAAGTGGTAGTTGAAGGTGGCTGAGTTGTAGCTGTTTCAGTTGTGGTAGAAGGTGTAGTGGTTGAAGTAGTAGTTGAAGGTGGTTGAGTTGAAACGGTTTTAGTTGGGGTAGGAGGTGTAGTTGTGGAAGTAGTAGTTGAGGGTGGCTGGGTTGAAGCTGTTTTAGTTGGGGTAGAAGGTGTAGTGGTGGAAGTAGTAGTTGAGGGTTGCTGAGTTGAAGCTATTTCAGTTGGCATAGAAGGTTTAGTGGTGGAGGTGGTAGTTGAAGGTGGCTGAGTTGTAGCTGTTTCAGTTGTGGTAGAAGGTGTAGTGGTGGAAGTAGTAGTTGAGGGTGACTGGGTTGAAGCTGTTTTAGTTGGGGTAGAAGGTGTAGTGGTGGAAGTAGTAGTTGAGGGTTGCTGAGTTGAAGCTCTTTCAGTTGGCATAGAAGGTTTAGTGGTGGAGGTGGTAGTTGAAGGTGGCTGAGTTGTAGCTGTTTCAGTTGTGGTAGAAGGTGTAGTTGTGGAAGTAGTAGTTGAGGGTGGCTGGGTTGAAGCTGTTTTAGTTGGGGTAGGAGGTGTAGTTGTGGAAGTAGTAGTTGAAGGTGGCTGAGTTGTAGTTGTTTCAGTTGGGGTAGAAGGTGTAGTGGTGGAAGTAGTAGTTGAAATTGGCTGAGTTGTAGTTGTTTCAGTTGTAGTAGAAGGTGTAGTGGTAGTAATAGTGGTTCTTGGTGTTGTAGTTGGAATTGTGGTAGAAGGAGGTGAGGTTTTTGGACAGACACAACATTTGAATCTAATCTTATAATCAAAACATTGTCCTTGAGGCCCTTGTTGGTCATTGTGGCATATGAGGCCCACATCTTTGTTACAAGTCACAGCTTGTCCAACCTGTGACATGGAAAGTGTTGGGTAAAGAACAGCTTTACATTCGACTTCAGCGGGACGTGAGCAAATGTGGTAACCAGCAGAGATTACTTTGTGGATAGATTCATCTTCTCCACCGTTAAGGCCTGGTGTGGGTTGGCCAAGATTAATCCATTCTGACCATCCACATGTCATATTATGTCCATCAGGGCAAGGTGCAGGTGTAGTTGGGTGAGCAGTAGTTGTTTCAGTTGTGGTAGAAGGTGTAGTGGTTGAAGTTGTAGTTGAAGGTGGTTGAGTTGTACTTGTTTCAGTTGGGGTAGAAGGTTTAGTGGTGGAAGTGGTAGTTGAAGGTGGCTGAGTTGTAGCTGTTTCAGTTGTGGTAGAAGGTGTAGTGGTTGAAGTAGTAGTTGAAGGTGGTTGAGTTGAAACGGTTTTAGTTGGGGTAGGAGGTGTAGTTGTGGAAGTAGTAGTTGAGGGTGGCTGGGTTGAAGCTGTTTTAGTTGGGGTAGAAGGTGTAGTGGTGGAAGTAGTAGTTGAGGGTTGCTGAGTTGAAGCTCTTTCAGTTGGCATAGAAGGTTTAGTGGTGGAGGTGGTAGTTGAAGGTGGCTGAGTTGTAGCTGTTTCAGTTGGGGTAGAAGGTGTAGTGGTGGAAGTAGTAGTTGAGGGTGGCTGGGTTGAAGCTGTTTTAGTTGGGGTAGGAGGTGTAGTTGTGGAAGTAGTAGTTGAAGGTGGCTGAGTTGTAGTTGTTTCAGTTGGGGTAGAAGGTGTAGTGGTGGAAGTAGTAGTTGAAATTGGCTGAGTTGTAGTTGTTTCAGTTGTAGTAGAAGGTGTAGTGGTAGTAATAGTGGTTCTTGGTGTTGTAGTTGGAATTGTGGTAGAAGGAGGTGAGGTTTTTGGACAGACACAACATTTGAATCTAATCTTATAATCAAAACATTGTCCTTGAGGCCCTTGTTGGTCATTGTGGCATATGAGGCCCACATCTTTGTTACAAGTCACAGCTTGTCCAACCTGTGACATGGAAAGTGTTGGGTAAAGAACAGCTTTACATTCGACTTCAGCGGGACGTGAGCAAATGTGGTAACCAGCAGAGATTACTTTGTGGATAGATTCATCTTCTCCACCGTTAAGGCCTGGTGTGGGTTGGCCAAGATTAATCCATTCTGACCATCCACATGTCATATTATGTCCATCAGGGCAAGGTGCAGGTGTAGTTGGGTGAGCAGTAGTTGTTTCAGTTGTGGTAGAAGGTGTAGTGGTTGAAGTTGTAGTTGAAGGTGGTTGAGTTGTACTTGTTTCAGTTGGGGTAGAAGGTTTAGTGGTGGAAGTGGTAGTTGAAGGTGGCTGAGTTGTAGCTGTTTCAGTTGTGGTAGAAGGTGTAGTGGTTGAAGTAGTAGTTGAAGGTGGTTGAGTTGAAACTGTTTTAGTTGGGGTAGAAGGTGTAGTTGTGGAAGTAGTAGTTGAGGGTGGCTGGGTTGAAGCTGTTTTAGTTGGGGTAGGAGGTGTAGTTGTGGAAGTAGTAGTTGAAGGTGGCTGAGTTGTAGTTGTTTCAGTTGGGGTAGAAGGTGTAGTGGTGGAAGTAGTAGTTGAAATTGGCTGAGTTGTAGTTGTTTCAGTTGTAGTAGAAGGTGTAGTGGTAGTAATAGTGGTTCTTGGTGTTGTAGTTGGAATTGTGGTAGAAGGAGGTGAGGTTTTTGGACAGACACAACATTTGAATCTAATCTTATAATCAAAACATTGTCCTTGAGGCCCTTGTTGGTCATTGTGGCATATGAGGCCCACATCTTTGTTACAAGTCACAGCTTGTCCAACCTGTGACATGGAAAGTGTTGGGTAAAGAACAGCTTTACATTCGACTTCAGCGGGACGTGAGCAAATGTGGTAACCAGCAGAGATTACTTTGTGGATAGATTCATCTTCTCCACCGTTAAGGCCTGGTGTGGGTTGGCCAAGATTAATCCATTCTGACCATCCACATGTCATATTATGTCCATCAGGGCAAGGTGCAGGTGTAGTTGGGTGAGCAGTAGTTGTTTCAGTTGTGGTAGAAGGTGTAGTGGTTGAAGTTGTAGTTGAAGGTGGTTGAGTTGTACTTGTTTCAGTTGGGGTAGAAGGTTTAGTGGTGGAAGTGGTAGTTGAAGGTGGCTGAGTTGTAGCTGTTTCAGTTGTGGTAGAAGGTGTAGTGGTTGAAGTAGTAGTTGAAGGTGGTTGAGTTGAAACGGTTTTAGTTGGGGTAGGAGGTGTAGTTGTGGAAGTAGTAGTTGAGGGTGGCTGGGTTGAAGCTGTTTTAGTTGGGGTAGAAGGTGTAGTGGTGGAAGTAGTAGTTGAGGGTTGCTGAGTTGAAGCTCTTTCAGTTGGCATAGAAGGTTTAGTGGTGGAGGTGGTAGTTGAAGGTGGCTGAGTTGTAGCTGTTTCAGTTGTGGTAGAAGGTGTAGTGGTGGAAGTAGTAGTTGAGGGTGGCTGGGTTGAAGCTGTTTTAGTTGGGGTAGGAGGTGTAGTTGTGGAAGTAGTAGTTGAAGGTGGCTGAGTTGTAGTTGTTTCAGTTGGGGTAGAAGGTGTAGTGGTGGAAGTAGTAGTTGAAATTGGCTGAGTTGTAGTTGTTTCAGTTGTAGTAGAAGGTGTAGTGGTAGTAATAGTGGTTCTTGGTGTTGTAGTTGGAATTGTGGTAGAAGGAGGTGAGGTTTTTGGACAGACACAACATTTGAATCTAATCTTATAATCAAAACATTGTCCTTGAGGCCCTTGTTGGTCATTGTGGCATATGAGGCCCACATCTTTGTTACAAGTCACAGCTTGTCCAACCTGTGACATGGAAAGTGTTGGGTAAAGAACAGCTTTACATTCGACTTCAGCGGGACGTGAGCAAATGTGGTAACCAGCAGAGATTACTTTGTGGATAGATTCATCTTCTCCACCGTTAAGGCCTGGTGTGGGTTGGCCAAGATTAATCCATTCTGACCATCCACATGTCATATTATGTCCATCAGGGCAAGGTGCAGGTGTAGTTGGGTGAGCAGTAGTTGTTTCAGTTGTGGTAGAAGGTGTAGTGGTTGAAGTTGTAGTTGAAGGTGGTTGAGTTGTACTTGTTTCAGTTGGGGTAGAAGGTTTAGTGGTGGAAGTGGTAGTTGAAGGTGGCTGAGTTGTAGTTGTTTCAGTTGTGGTAGAAGGTGTAGTGGTTGAAGTTGTAGTTGAAGGTGGTTGAGTTGTACTTGTTTCAGTTGGGGTAGAAGGTTTAGTGGTGGAAGTGGTAGTTGAAGGTGGCTGAGTTGTAGTTGTTTCAGTTGTGGTAGAAGGTGTAGTGGTTGAAGTTGTAGTTGAAGGTGGTTGAGTTGTACTTGTTTCAGTTGGGGTAGAAGGTTTAGTGGTGGAAGTGGTAGTTGAAGGTGGCTGAGTTGTAGCTGTTTCAGTTGTGGTAGAAGGTGTAGTGGTTGAAGTAGTAGTTGAAGGTGGTTGAGTTGAAACGGTTTTAGTTGGGGTAGGAGGTGTAGTTGTGGAAGTAGTAGTTGAGGGTGGCTGGGTTGAAGCTGTTTTAGTTGGGGTAGGAGGTGTAGTTGTGGATGTAATAGTTGAAGGTGGTTGAGTTGTAGCTGTTTCTGTTGTGGAAGAAGGTGTAGTGGTGGAAGTAGTAGTTGAGGGGGGCTGGGTTGAAGCTGTTTTAGTTGGGGTAGGAGGGGTAGTTGTGGATGTAATAGTTGAAGGTGGTTGAGTTGTAGCTGTTTCTGTTGTGGAAGAAGGTGTAGTGGTGGAAGTAGTAGTTGAAGGCGGCTGAGTTTTAGTTTTTTCAGTTGGGATAGAAGGAGTAGTGGTGGAAGTAGCACTTGAAGGAGGCTGAGTTGTAGCTGTTTCAGTTGGGGTAGAAGGGGTAGTGGGGGAAGGAGTAGTTGATGGTGGCTGAGTTGAAGCTGTTTTTGTTGGGGTTGAAGGGGTAGTGGTGGAAGTAGTAGTTGAAGGCGGCTGAGTTTTAGTTTTTTCAGTTGGGATAGAAGGAGTAGTGGTGGAAGTAGCACTTGAAGGAGGCTGAGTTGTAGCTGTTTCAGTTGGGGTAGAAGGGGTAGTGGGGGAAGGAGTAGTTGATGGTGGCTGAGTTGAAGCTGTTTTTGTTGGGGTTGAAGGGGTAGTGGTGGAAGTAGTAGTTGAAGGCGGCTGAGTTTTAGTTTTTTCAGTTGGGATAGAAGGAGTAGTGGTGGAAGTAGCACTTGAAGGAGGCTGAGTTGTAGCTGTTTCAGTTGGGGTAGAAGGGGTAGTGGGGGAAGGAGTAGTTGATGGTGGCTGAGTTGAAGCTGTTTTTGTTGGGGTTGAAGGGGTAGTGGTGGAAGTAGTAGTTGAAGGCGGCTGAGTTTTAGTTTTTTCAGTTGGGATAGAAGGAGTAGTGGTGGAAGTAGCACTTGAAGGAGGCTGAGTTGTAGCTGTTTCAGTTGGGGTAGAAGGGGTAGTGGGGGAAGGAGTAGTTGATGGTGGCTGAGTTGAAGCTGTTTTTGTTGGGGTTGAAGGGGTAGTGGTGGAAGTAGTAGTTGAAGGCGGCTGAGTTTTAGTTTTTTCAGTTGGGATAGAAGGAGTAGTGGTGGAAGTAGCACTTGAAGGAGGCTGAGTTGTAGCTGTTTCAGTTGGGGTAGAAGGGGTAGTGGGGGAAGGAGTAGTTGATGGTGGCTGAGTTGAAGCTGTTTTTGTTGGGGTTGAAGGGGTAGTGGTGGAAGTAGTAGTTGAAGGCGGCTGAGTTTTAGTTTTTTCAGTTGGGATAGAAGGAGTAGTGGTGGAAGTAGCACTTGAAGGAGGCTGAGTTGTAGCTGTTTCAGTTGGGGTAGAAGGGGTAGTGGGGGAAGGAGTAGTTGATGGTGGCTGAGTTGAAGCTGTTTTTGTTGGGGTTGAAGGGGTAGTGGTGGAAGTAGTAGTTGAAGGCGGCTGAGTTTTAGTTTTTTCAGTTGGGATAGAAGGAGTAGTGGTGGAAGTAGCACTTGAAGGAGGCTGAGTTGTAGCTGTTTCAGTTGGGGTAGAAGGGGTAGTGGGGGAAGGAGTAGTTGATGGTGGCTGAGTTGAAGCTGTTTTTGTTGGGGTTGAAGGGGTAGTGGTGGAAGTAGTAGTTGAAGGCGGCTGAGTTTTAGTTTTTTCAGTTGGGATAGAAGGAGTAGTGGTGGAAGTAGCACTTGAAGGAGGCTGAGTTGTAGCTGTTTCAGTTGGGGTAGAAGGGGTAGTGGGGGAAGGAGTAGTTGATGGTGGCTGAGTTGAAGCTGTTTTTGTTGGGGTTGAAGGGGTAGTGGTGGAAGTAGTAGTTGAAGGCGGCTGAGTTTTAGTTTTTTCAGTTGGGATAGAAGGAGTAGTGGTGGAAGTAGCACTTGAAGGAGGCTGAGTTGTAGCTGTTTCAGTTGGGGTAGAAGGGGTAGTGGGGGAAGGAGTAGTTGATGGTGGCTGAGTTGAAGCTGTTTTTGTTGGGGTTGAAGGGGTAGTGGTGGAAGTAGTAGTTGAAGGCGGCTGAGTTTTAGTTTTTTCAGTTGGGATAGAAGGAGTAGTGGTGGAAGTAGCACTTGAAGGAGGCTGAGTTGTAGCTGTTTCAGTTGGGGTAGAAGGGGTAGTGGGGGAAGGAGTAGTTGATGGTGGCTGAGTTGAAGCTGTTTTTGTTGGGGTTGAAGGGGTAGTGGTGGAAGTAGTAGTTGAAGGCGGCTGAGTTTTAGTTTTTTCAGTTGGGATAGAAGGAGTAGTGGTGGAAGTAGCACTTGAAGGAGGCTGAGTTGTAGCTGTTTCAGTTGGGGTAGAAGGGGTAGTGGGGGAAGGAGTAGTTGATGGTGGCTGAGTTGAAGCTGTTTTTGTTGGGGTTGAAGGGGTAGTGGTGGAAGTAGTAGTTGAAGGCGGCTGAGTTTTAGTTTTTTCAGTTGGGATAGAAGGAGTAGTGGTGGAAGTAGCACTTGAAGGAGGCTGAGTTGTAGCTGTTTCAGTTGGGGTAGAAGGGGTAGTGGGGGAAGGAGTAGTTGATGGTGGCTGAGTTGAAGCTGTTTTTGTTGGGGTTGAAGGGGTAGTGGTGGAAGTAGTAGTTGAAGGCGGCTGAGTTTTAGTTTTTTCAGTTGGGATAGAAGGAGTAGTGGTGGAAGTAGCACTTGAAGGAGGCTGAGTTGTAGCTGTTTCAGTTGGGGTAGAAGGGGTAGTGGGGGAAGGAGTAGTTGATGGTGGCTGAGTTGAAGCTGTTTTTGTTGGGGTTGAAGGGGTAGTGGTGGAAGTAGTAGTTGAAGGCGGCTGAGTTTTAGTTTTTTCAGTTGGGATAGAAGGAGTAGTGGTGGAAGTAGCACTTGAAGGAGGCTGAGTTGTAGCTGTTTCAGTTGGGGTAGAAGGGGTAGTGGGGGAAGGAGTAGTTGATGGTGGCTGAGTTGAAGCTGTTTTTGTTGGGGTTGAAGGGGTAGTGGTGGAAGTAGTAGTTGAAGGCGGCTGAGTTTTAGTTTTTTCAGTTGGGATAGAAGGTGTAGTGGTGGAAGTAGCACTTGAAGGTGGCTGAGTTGTAGCTGTTTCAGTTGGGGTAGAAGGTGTAGTGGTGGAAGTAGTAGTTGATGGTGGCTGAGTTGAAGCTGTTTTTGTTGGGGTTGAAGGTGTAGTGGTGAAAGTAGTAGTTGAAGGCGGCTGTGTTGTAGTCGTTTCAGTTGTAGTTGAAGGTACAGTGGTTGAAGTTGTAGTTGAAGGTGGTTGAGTTGTACTTGTTTCAGTCGGAGTAGAAGGTTTAGTGGTGGAAGCGGTAGTAAAAGGTGGCTGAGTTGTAGCTGTTTCAGTTGTGGTAGAAGGTGCAGCTGTGGAAGTAGTAGTATATGGTGGCTGAGTTGAAGCTGTTTTAGTTGGGGTAGTAGTAGTCGAAGGTGGCTGAGTTGTGATAGTAGTACTTATAGGACTCTGTGTCGTGTTGCATTGTGGTGTCTTGCAACACTTTACTTTAATCTCATAATCTAAACATATGGGGGGAATTTGTAAGATGTTCTTACACACAAGTCCTACTTGTTTGTTACATGTTACTGTTTGCTTTAATTGTTGTAATGGAACCCCTGGATAATGTACAGCCTGACACTCAACCACTACTGGATTATCACAAATGTCATATCCTTTCTGGATGATACTTTTGATGCTTTCATTGTCCCCACCTCCAGGGCCATATTGAGGGTAGTCTGAACTTATCCATTTTGACCAGAAGCATATTTCATGGCAAGGTGTTTTGGTAACATGTGTTGTTGTTGTCGGTATTACTGGGGGCTTTGTGGTTGAGCTTGGAGGTATTGACGATGGAGCAGGCTTTGTTGGGCATGCACTATAGTCACAACACATAACTCTGATTTGATAGTTAAAGCACAAGGGCAGTGGCCCTGACTGGTCTTCATTTCTGCATGTCAGTCCCTTAGCTACATTACATTGCACCACTTGTCCCACATTGTCAATAGACACATTCGGGAATTTCTCTGCCCTGCACTGGATCTGGCTTGGCACATCACATATCTTGTGTCCTGCCGCTTTGATGTTTTGGTAAGTTTCATTGTCTCCTCCTGGAGTTCCCAGTGTGGGAAAGCTGGTATCATACCATGGCGACCATTCACAAGGATTGCATGTGACTGGAACAGACACTGTGGACACACAGAATAGAGACATTGGTTATGTGATAAATTTTATCTTACACAGCTGATTAAGTCTTCAGTTTCCAAAAGGAATACCTCCCCAATACCTGGTGTGGTTGATGTAAAAACAAAGGTGGTTGGAGTCTGGCTGGCTGTAGTAGTGGTGGCAGTGGGCATACGTGTTGTTGGTGTTGGTTCTGGGCATGAGTGTGAACTCCTCTCAATGGTACCATTCTTCCCACACACTGCTGTGATGCAGTTACCATGTCCATCTGTTGTGTTATAGATGGTTTCGCCATGGAGATATTTTGTTCCATTATATGTGCAAGTACAGGCTGTAAAAAGAGGAGATGTATTATTGACATATTGACCTAACCTACCCTAGTATGTATTTTTAAAACCCACAATCTCTCCAATTCTTTGCATACCTTGGACATCGTAATGGCATGTGATGGTCATTGAACTGCATGTACTTCAAGAGAAAAAAAACATGATATATATGGTCACTTCTGACTTTCTTTTTCATTTAATTTGAAGCTGCCACAAAGCTACAGTATATTACCTCCTTTGGCACATGCAAGACATGCAAGACCTACCAGGTATGACAGTTTTCAGTTGTTGGCACTTTGTCACCATTATCATAGTGTCGCCCCTCGTTATCGTAGCAGCCACATTGTTCTTTTAAAACACATGTCATTGTATCCTCATCAAAGTAGGGCTGAGCAGGAGGACATTTTGGATAGCAACCTAATTAAAAAACAAAGAGTTGTTCATACACTAGAACATACAGGTTTTTTCAAATGCAAGTGTAACAAATACAGCCAATGTAGAAAAGAAAATTGATGTGTTCAATAGTCAGTCTTGAATTTTCAGTTTAATTTGATTAGTAGATTAGGCCAAGTTATAAAAAAACTTATCTACCTTCTAATGGAGGTATCTGTGTAGAGCAGCTGCCTGAAGGGTTCCTACAGGTTTTCATACAAGGAGATCCACATGGCATGTAGTGCCATTCGCATTCACCAGGGGGATTGTAGTAATCACAGAAGATGGCTGAAAAAAGATAATAAAATGTATTCAGTATTTTCATGTTGTAGACTGTACTATTCAGTGAGTTTACTGATGATTTTAGCTTGTGCTTGTACATAGCCTTATTTTTCCCTTTATACTAGACAGACCTGCTACCTTGTCCATAAACCAGAGCATTTCAATATTGATCTTAATTACCTTGAAAAAGGCCTTTTTTGTAATAACTATTTCCATTTAATTTTCATATGAAATGAGCTCTACCTCAGAGAGGTGGTAACAATGATTCTTAATAGAAGAGAAGTACGCTGGCTATTCAATTTGCAAATGTTATCCCCCAAAGGACTGAATGACGGGATTCCATGGCATGTCATGCTCTAAGAAATCTAGGTACTTTATAGATCTATCTAAGGCACACTTCCACTACCAATAGTTCATATGATTACATATTTTGAATGACTTATGAAAGCTGCAAAGCCTATGTTTTTTTTCAATAGATTTCAAATACAGGAAATAATTTTTTAAGATTTGATTATATATTGTGATGTCTCACTTGTTTTTTGTACATATAGTTTTTCTCTTCCTTATATATATATATATATATATATATACATACAGTATAGATATACATATGCATATGTATATCTATAAATACATATGTATGTCTACAAGGAAGAGAAATATATATATATATATCAACCATTAGTTCCGAACATGTGATTTGATTGGTGGAGAGCTATTCCATGAGTGCTGATATAGAGTACAACAGCAATGGGACTTTAAACTACTTCTATAACTCCACTTTAGAGGTGTTCTATTAACCGTTAATTAGCGTTACATTAATGGTTGTTATCTATCTTAGATAGCAACAAACTTTGCAAAGATGAAAATATTTCTAGAAAATAACATTTGAATTAAATGATATCTGGTTGTCAGAGGAGGATGAAGGAAAGAAGCCTGGATACTTTAGCACACAACTAAGGTGTCTTACCTGTAGACAAAGTACCAAGCTAGCACTGTGCAGGTCAGGAAAATGTTAATGTGTTGCTTAGCAACAGCCCCGTACCAGTCCAGTTGTGGAACTGTCTGTGTTGGTGTAGCCAAATAAATTATTACATAAACAAACAAATCAGAATCTCTTGTTGCTTATTTAACTAATATGGTGCTCGCAGAACTGTTGTATTGTCTTTGATACGAGGCCACAGGCTGAGTACCTATGACCAAATCACAGCTGTGCTGGTATTCAGTATAGAACCACTCCCTCTCATGTGATATTGCTTAAATATATTTATATATACATTTATATACATGTGTGTATATATACTTAAAATTAAGTCCAGGTTGCAATTTTATTTTGCTTAAAGTGGTACTGTCTTTTTAAAGGAACACAGAGCTCAAAATTACACAGTTACACACACCCACACCTATTACAAAGGCAGCCTCAACCAGTGGCCACTGAAAAGCTTTAGGGCACCTCAGTGGTGTGGTAATCACAGAGGAAGAAGCATCCTGTAGTAAGTGATGAAAAGCCAGTTTCTTCAACCTCACACACACTACTGCCCCAGTTTAAAATGAAAATGAGTTGTCCATTTTGCATTCAATTTTATTATCACCATGGGAGTAGTATGCTTTGGAGAAGACTAAAAATTATTTTTAAATATAGTTTTCATTTTCATTTTGTTGCACCTCTACCTTTTTTCCTTGACATTCTTGTCAAGGCAGCTGATTCATAGTGCGAAGACCCTAGTACCAAGAGCACTGCATGACGCCATCCAGGCTTTCATGAATGAAAAATCAAAGTCCTTAGTATTGCTTTAGGACAGAGTTGAGAATAATTTTAACTTTGATTTCAGAGAAACGGGTCAAGAATCTTGACAAGATCTTCAACTGCAGTCTGCAAGATACAGCTGATTTCATTTAAACATTCAGACATCAGACGTAGGCAGCAAATTCATGTGGCATGATCTCCCTTGATGATTAGATGTTTGAACAGGGTACGATATGGAGACTGCAAGAGGCACAAAAAATGTCACATGGCAGGTAGAGACCTCACACATCAAGTTGATCCATATGATGTTCGGCCAACTCCAATTTCTAGTCCTGGGGCAAGATTGAGGCACTGACGTGCACCCTTTGCCCAAGTTGGAGAACCTTGAAGGATCTCTTAAGAAGCTGCGCAAAAGCCTCACTGGCACCACATGCTGAAAACAGTGTCAAAGCATGTTGTATCAGCCATGAATTGCTTTCACTTGAGCAAGTAAGCAGCCTTGACCACAGTTCAGGGTGTCTTAAGGCCCACTCATTACACTGACTGAATGGCAGTGGTGTGTGGACCTGGACAGACATGCTGAAGTTCCCTGACACCATTACATCAACATCACTGCAGCCTAAACAGGTCCTGCTGCCAGAAACTTCAAAGCCAAGCCATGTTTTTATTGGTGAACAATCTGAAGAGGAAAAGTCCTACCGAATATGAGCCTGCAAGAAGGCACACGCCAAGAGGTCGAGAGTAGAGATATGGATGCTTGAAAGTGGGGTGCAGCAGATGAATGCACAGAGCAATTTTTTTGAGATTGTGATGGACAAATAATGACCCCAATTCCTTGAGTATATTGGTTTAGTTTCTCTCCAGATGGGTGCTGGGCAGATGAGAGAAACAAACCAACAAGTAGTGAATCTACCAACAGGCCTATGTGAGTTTGGAAAGAGAAAAGGCATATACATGGGCTGTGGGGCTGTGCTTGTGAGTGCAGCTTAGGTCCAGGCTATTGTTGATTTCCCTTGGGTAAATGCAGGTTTTAATGTTTTTCTTCATTCACCATCGGTCAATCTGTTACAAAAAAAATGTGAAATGGGTGTGGGCTGAGGAGTGTCAGGAGGCTGTAGCTCAGATCAAGGCTATTTTGTTCAGTGGTGCTGAAAGCTCCAGACTTCAGCCTGCCATTTGCACCTGCTGTGGATGCATGTGATGTAGAGATCAAAGTAGTTGTCCTTCAGTCAGGCGAGGCCGGTTACAAGAGACCAGTGCCGTAAGGCTCAACAGATATCAACCAACGAGAGAGGCTTCAGCCTTAGTGTTGAGCATAAAGCATTTTGAGATTCATGTTGCCAGTGTTGACTGGATGGTGATTTACTCAGAAAAGGTGACAGTGACCTTGACCTTTGGCCACCAAGATCAAATCAATTCATCCTTGTCCAAATAAATGTTTGTGCCAAATTTGAAGAAATTCCCTCAAGGTGTTACTGAGATATCATGTTCATGAGAAAAGGACAGATGGAAAGACACAACTTGAAAACATAATGCCTCCGGCCCTGGCTGTCTCCAACATGCAGGCATAAAAGGGAAGAAAAAAAAACAGAAGAAATTCTGATGAGTTGATCTCAATCTCAAGAGGGCAGGTCTTACCTAATATGATGCTGTCCGACGAGATACACAAGAGGGCAGCAAGAGTAGAGATAGGGATGCTTGAGAGAGCTGTGCTGCAGGTGAATGCCCAGAGCAACGTTTTGTTGCCACTGTGATAGACAGTGAATCATGACCCTTATTCCTGAAGTATTTTGGTGTAGTTTCTGCATCTGCACCAAATTCATCAACCTAAATGAAATGAAGCCAACACCCAGCTCCATGTATGGCTGCTGACGTGAGAGGAACACCAACCTGTGAGCCAACCCGACCGAGCGAGCCCAGCCATGCAGTTGATGGGGTGACACCATGGGGAGCATGTGGACGGATGATCAAGCTCATTCAGGCTTAGAATAAGGCCTTCACCCTTTTCTTGATGTGTTGATATCCACAAGTAGATATATGAGATTTTTCAGCCACACTTTTAAGTGTTTGTTTTTACTTTGTTACTAATGTAAAGTGTTTCAGCAACAGTTCGTTGCTGCTCAGCTGTTGATAAAGATTTGAGCACATAAACAGGACTGAACTGAATGTAGTTAGCTGGGGAGGAAGACAGACATGAGGGAGGTGATGGGAGTCAGACTCACAGTGGGCCACAGCCTCCGTGACTGGGCTGATTACCACAACTCAGCGCTATCTTTGTATCGCTACTTTTGGATGCACAAAGATAGAATTACTCATGAAGAAAGATTATTCGGATTCACAGATACTTACCGAATGATTCTGAGTTACTCAGGAACTACTCATTAATGATTCATTATCAGGTCGTTCCTGATTTGTTTCTCATTTGCACAGCTCCATAGTAGCTATCCACATTGTTGTGGAGCATATTGTAAAGGGTTACACCAATAGGTATTTAGCTAAAAAAAAAATAGGGTACTTTTGGTTCACCTTATGCAGTCCTGATGTCTTGAAAATGTAATTTAGATTGTAAGAACTGCATGAACTGTATCCTGACTGAACAAGAAAAGTTTCTTCATGGTTACTTACGGCAGATTTTAGGGGTTCTCCATCGTACACAGACTCCAGCTTGATTACAGGATTCAGCGTAAGCGGCCACAGCAGTGCAGAAGCACTCGCAGTCTCCACCGGTGTCACAAGCACATGAGTCAAACACACATGCTTCATAGAATGGAGAGGGATCCACCTGTGGTGTGTGATGATACAGTAATGAGTCAGGTGTTTATGAACACAAAATGCAGGAAAGGCCCTGCTGCACTTCAACATTTACTGAACTCTGCACAGTTACTTACAATTACTTTCCAAATTAAGATTTTTGGACAGATCATATGAACAATTTATAGAAAATCTAACATTGTTGGAGATTAAACTACTACCTACTACAGTACAGAAAATAGTATGCTTCACCTCAGCTGGGTACAAATATTAAATGGCTACAAAAATGTGTATACATTGGTAATAATTATTAAATAATATACACCGTAATGAATATATAAATATATATGCATCCATGTATGTTGACACCTCATGTAGCATAAAAGGAACCATGTGCACTTGCAACCATGATTCAATGGTTTTAATGGATTCAAAACCATATGATGTCTTCTTAACAAAGTTGACCTTTTGGCCTGAAGGTGCAGGAGGAAAGTTCAGTCTAATGTGGTCTGAAAATTATTTTGATGATGGGAAATATGGCCTTGTGCCACTAGAGGAACATTCAGGAGTTCACCACAATATTGGGATTCATTTGATGACGATAAAAGCGAATTACACTGCAACCTAACCATTTGTTTTTAACTTTTCATGGACAAGATACAGGAGAAAACTTTGACTTGGTGAATGTAAAGGAATAATTAGGATCCGTTCATGGATGTCTGTCCAGCAGTTAACATATCTTGTTCTGAATCTCACCAATATCCTCACCATTAGATCCTGCTGCTTACAGAGTAAAAACAGAATAAAAACTTCAACAACAAACTTGACTTCAACAACAACTTACAATGGAGTGGCAGGCAGAGAAGATGTTGCTCTGTATGATGCTGCACTGTTTCTGGGCCCACGACTGTCTGTATGGGTTGTTAGTGCAGGGGCTGGTGATGCTCTTAGCGTCGGGGCAGGTTGGTAAATCCTTCCAGCTGTTGCCAAACACCAGCGGGCTGACCACTACAGCGTGGCACCTCGTTGTGAAGTCATTATTTGCATTGCCGTCAAAGCTGCCACACAGCCCACAAACATGACCCTGAAAAAGTTGAGCCCATATTATCATGTCATTAACCTTAAACATCAAAACAAAGCTTGTACTTTTTTCACATTAAAACCAAAACCTTACTTCACATATTCCAGAGTTACCTTATATTTCGGGCTGAGCTTGATGAACAAGCTGGTCTTCCTGTCCCACATGAGAATGAGTCCATTGTTGGCTTCAATTACCAGGTAGTTGCCCATAGTGCTGTAAGTGAATGGGACTGTTTCTTCATTTCCACCTGAAAGCAGCTGGTAGCGTCCCTCTGTTAGAACCAGGTGTGCACTCTAGAAAAAAGAGCAGACACTGTGTCAGCAATTTAAACTGAGTCAGACAATATAGTTGTTTTTCTGAAATGGTTTTATATTGACTCTTTACCCCCAGGAAGATCTTGATGGTCTTGGAGCAGGTGGTTCCTGTCGTTCCACACGGAACGTTCTCAGTGATCACTCTGAAGGTTCCATTACTCTGAGCACTGCCACAATAGTCCTGAGAACACACACACACACACACACACACACAGAGAAATATTGGTATTTATATTCAGATTCAGACGACTTTATTACTCCCAAGGAGGGCAATTCCTTTGCAGTTTACCCAGTCCATACACACAACTTACAAAATCCAGAAAAAACCCACAGGAAAATTAGTTAATGTCAGAGGCAACAGGTCAACATACGTGGGTCAATACAAATGAAATAGCTAAAATAGCACATTTTCTTATAATCCATATAGTGAATCAATCAAATTTATACTAGTCTGAAAAGATGAAGTCAGTGAAGCATGGAGCTCAAAGGTCAAAGTGCCTAACAAGCAGCGAGTGAAAAAAGGAAATAATAATCATATTTAATGAACATATATTTGACTTGTTTTGTATATTGAGTCTCTGTCTCTATTTGCAGGCAACCACTCAAGGACATTCAAGGTAGGAAGTGCTGTAGGAAGTGCTTACAGTTTGTGATGTAGGTTTTACTATTTTGAATCTGTGAAGGCTAATTCTTACCTCTTGTGTGAAAGACTTCACTTCACATGATTCTGTTCACCTGCTGCTCCTGTGCACATTCTTACCTGAGTGAGGATGTATTCACAGCTCCCGTCAAAGGTGAAGCGCTTCTGATCAAAAGTCATGTAGTGTCCGGCTCCATAGACGGAGCAGGTACTGTCACACTCATTGGTGGTGCAGCTCCATTTTCTATCTTTACATGTGCTGAGAACAGATAGAGATTAGATGGAATTAGTTTTATAATAAAAGGCTTTTTGTTTGTACATGTCAGTCACAGATGGGACCGTAACCAAAAGAATTAAATGTTCTGCCTGTGATTCACTCACCAGGTGTTGCAGTCCACTCTGGTGGTCTCTCCAGGCTGGTAGGAGATGCCATTGTGAATACAGGGACAGGCCTCTGGATTGATGCAGCCTCCTTTACCATCAGAGACCTTCCCAACTGGACACATACAGCCAGAGGTGCAACCCGTGGTCACCTGAAGAGAAGATCAAATTTATAATCCGCAGTCACAGGTTTCATTTGTGCTCCAGGGAAAATGTTTAACTTTACCTCAGAACTCAGATTATCCGAATGTTTGCACTAGATATAAATATAAAATCTGTTTTTGGATGTAAATTATACTTCGTGTTGGGGAAAAGGTGACTTACACAGGCCATGTCTAATGTGTTGCAGCTCTTCTCACACTCAGTTCCTCTTGCAGCTGGACCATTAGCAGAGCAGTTGAAGAACTCCATAGGAGAAACACAGGCCGCTGAAAAAAGACATGTCTGAAATTACTTTCCTGAATTTCTAAAATTCATCACCAATTTTTTTTTTAATTCCCTAATTTAACAATGTCCATTTTATGCCTTAATTAATGCTGCTTATTTTTATATTATTTTTACATTATTAAGACACAAATCAGTCAGGAGCTCTTTTGCCTTTTCTATCAATTTTTCTCCACTTTCTGTTGCTGGGCCATATTCCAGTTTCCTGTTTACTGTATACTGTGGTAAACATCGCCCCCTGGTGGCTGAAAACACCACAGCTTTTGGAGCGTGATGGTCTCGAATTCTAAAACAAAACCATAAAACTGTTTGGTGCACACTGATTTAACCTCTGTGTAACAGAGAACGCTCAGCTTTATAGTTTCTGGTTCAACCAAACGCCACCTTGTTTGTACAGCCTTGCACACTACGCATATCGAAATCACAGAAGGTTACAGAATGATTTCCTCTTGTATCACCAGCTTATCAAATACTTACATTACAGAAGTTAGAGAAAACATGGAGAAAATGTAGTTGCTTCTGATCATGTGCCAGAGTCTTTAAACTACATAATGTTAAATTATTGTATTTGTTCTGCAAATTGAATATAAAGAAATTCCTGTCAGTCTGTCATGGCCAGACATGTAGTATAATTCTGTTATGAGTATTATTACATACTCTTTCCTAGTCCACAGATCATGGACACCATTTTTCAGTAGCTAATGGTACTATCAGGAAGTAATGTAGCACTCACTTTTAGGCTGCTACTTCTGTATCATGTAACTTACTTGGTTGCTCACTAAACTGTCCAATGCAGACCAGTTTGCCCTCTTTGCAGGTGCTAGAGGAGAAATACAAAAAGACATTAATACACATATATAACCTTGCAGCACATTGTTTAAGCGTGTAACAAATAGTCAGAAATTTGAATTATGGTATGTTGAGAAACACACAAAATGCTTTTTCATGTATAAGTCAAACTCTAATGATATTCATGAATCTACTTCACATTTTAGTGCTTAAAACCATTTGGGACTAGAGCTGTAAGACTATGATTTGATGGATAATGTACACTCATTTGAACCTATCAAATCACATACAAATCACATGCAATATACAGTATAATTTTCATACCACATGATCCCATCCTTGTTGACAACCTGCCCAGGAGGCACCACAGAGCCTTTGTCATAACAGGGACAGGCCTTAGCAGGGACACAGCTCCCAGAGTCATCCAGGTAGGTTCCCTCTGCACAGACGCAGCCGTCAATTGGTGGGAAGGAGAAGTGGCAGCTGAGATCTGTGGTGCCGAGGCAGCGACAGGTACGACCGCTGGATGTGATGTTGTAGGAGTAGACCATGCTCCTTGGGCAGGAGGTGGCATATTTCCCTGAGGAGGTCAGAGCACAGAATCAGTGAAAAACAAGCACAGTGATACTATGTGCACAACAAGCTCCTGTATAGCGTTCCTCACTGCTCACCACAGATGGTCTTCCTCCAGTTGCTGATCTGGATTCCTGCAGCTGCACAGGCATGGACGTATGAGGAGACTGCGGCGCACATGCAGTCTTCACTTTTCTCACAGTTACAGCTGTCATACATGCAGTTCTATGAGGGAGACATAACAAAGAATCAGCAGTGTGAGGTCATATCACAGGTCTGGAGACAGACATATGTCAAAGCTGCAGCTGTGAGACTTACCTCTCTGTAAGAGTCAGGACTGATCTCTGAGTGACAGGGGGCAAACACTCCTTGGGGATCACTTAGCATGGAGCACCAGTGCATGGCGTACTTCTCTGTGGGTGACACACAAACGTCAGTCATCCTGATGAGCCCACAGTGATAACAGAGAACCTAAATGAGTCATAACTACCATTGTCCAGACTGAGGCTGCAGGGATTCTCAAAGTTGCTCTTAACATCTGCGCAACCACCATGTGTCTTCCAGCTGTTGACAAAACCAGCTGCTGTGGCATCTCGAACACCGCTGAGCTTAAGGAAGTCATCAGCCTGGTTACTGTTGAAGTTCCCACACAGGCCTGCAGGCAGACACCATCATGTTAATGACAATAATATAATAATAACAATATAATGAATCATCTCTACACAGATCATTTTCGTGTACATACCACAAGTCTTGTCCTTGTAGTCACTGGTCATTCTGATGTAGAGCTGCATGACTGGCTGCAGCTGCACCTCCAGCAGAACACCAACTGATGTCTGGACCAGCAGGTAGAAAGAAGATGCTCTGAAGGTGGAAATCCCAGCTGCAGGTTAAGACAAAGTTCTTTTATTACACTGCTGGAGGGGACGAGACAGGAGGAAACACTATTTGTCTGCCAATCTGGCCAGTGAATCAAACAATTAAAACATTTTAAATCTGAAATCTCTCATTATTTGCCTGTTGTCATTCCGTCTCAGCCAGAGACAAATGAAAATTCTGGATTTGCAGTAAATCTAGTGTCATTGTTGGGGAGGATTGTGTGGAAACAGCCTCTGGAATCAGATACTGCTTATACTGTTGATTTAAATGCCTGAAAATATGAACATGGCCTTTTTTTAATTAACTTTATTTGATTTTTTTCCATATATATGACAGTCCTTGACACTGAGCTGTGGAGCTAAGACTGTGACCAAACATGGACACATGATGTCGCCAGTGACAGCTTTTCATCCATCAGTAATGAGGTTCACCAGGAGAGTGTAACACAAGACACACACTACACACTACTAATGTCATAATTAGGAACTGAGAACTACAATGAAGTATTTATCATTCAGCTAAACTGTTTGTGGTATACAGTACATTAAATAGGAAAACATACTGTAGCTTATAGTGTATATAACATAGTGTATTTTTTTTTACATGTAAGATGTAAGGCAGAGGAAGAGTGCAGTGTTTCTTACCAGCAGAAAATGGTAACTGAGCGTAGATGCCATTCACAAAAACTTTGCCATCGGGCTGGATGGTGATCACCTGCATATGAAAGGACACAAGGTGATGTTGAAATCTTGTAACTGTGTGGACACAATATTCACAGTGATGGGTTTATATAACTCAGTCTAGTTCCAAGTCTGTAAGATTATTTTAACAGCATACTGAAATGAATATGGAAACCAATGATGATCAGAAATGTTAACAAGCAAAACAATAAAATGGTGAACTAAGGTTGTTTTCCTACAGTAATACAAATAATACTGAATAGATATGGAAGGAAAAAGATTATTATCTTCACAGATTATCTTCTAAAAATGATAAAGATATAATTAAAGTTTGTGTGTGTGTGTGTGTGTGTGTGTGTGTGTGTGTGTGTGTGTGTGTGTGTGTGTGTGTGTGTGTGTGTCATACTCACATTTGCCCCTCCAGACAGACCTAAGGTAACAGACTTGAGGCAAGTCTCACTCTCGGTCAGTCCACACTGCACCAGTTCTCCCTGGATCACAAACCTGGTTCCACTGCAGTCCTGAACACACAGACACAAAACTATTCAACTACTGTTGAACTGAAACAACTTGGCTGCAGAGCGCAGTGCATGGGGAACAATACCAGTAAAAGACAGCAACAGTGGATGTAATACCTGTGGACACTAAAGGTTCAATCAATATTTCAATGTGGAAGTGATACAATTTTCCAATCCGTTTGCCTCTTGTGATGAACTGATTTAATATATGGTGGTGCAGAGATGACACACATCCCTCTGCTCTCTTGTTTTTATTAATTACAACTCTAATCACAACCTTCTATCTACTATAGCTGTAATTGGTTCGGGCTTGTGTAGCTGTGTTGTGCATTTGTTACCACAGCATGTGCGTGTGGTATAACAGCAGTGATGTATACACTACCTTGGCCAGAATGTAGGAGCAGTCCCCATGAAAGGTGTAGGCCTTTCCATCGAAGGTGTTGACGTGAGCTCCTCCCTCTACAGAGCAGATTCCTGGACAGTTCTCCTCCGCACATTTCCACTGACCGCTCTCACACACACTGTCAGTACACACAGTTTCATCTTAATTGCCAGTGGAAAGTTGATTAATGAATTTGCAACCCTCTCCAAACCATTCTGGGTCCTACAAACCCATTTCCCATAATGTCTACTGAATTACTGACTGTATCGTACCATTTTTTGCAGTTACTGGTGTATGATTCTCCATGTCCATAGATCTTGCTGTTGTAGCTGCAGGAGCACTGGCTCAGTGGAACACAACCTTTTCCATTTAAATCATCCAACACCGTGCCTGAAAGAGATCAAAGTAATATGTTATCGAAACACCTTGTGTGTGTGCGTGTGCGCCACTGTTTGCACGTATGTGAATGTCACTCTGCTGTACCTGCAGGGCAGAAGCATCCGTCGATACAGTGGTTGTCACAGGTGCGGCTGGCCTCTGGGTTGGAACAGGTATCAGCACAGGGACTTCCACACTCTCTGTACTCCATTTTGTCAGGACACGACTTCCCTGTGAAAACACATTCAATTCAAACACGAACAATTCTTTCTTACCACTTCACTTACATAACTTCTCAGATAACATTTATTCACACAGACTATATAACTGTAGCCTGGTTCCCATCTGTGAACCGCCTGTCCTCAGCTCTACTGTATCCTCTACTGCTGCAGAACTCATGTTATGGATGACATGTTCATCATGTTTTATGAATCAACTTAGCAATGAAGCAATTAAGTATTTTTTCAGGAGCACAGTCAAGTTCCTCTTCAGACATGTTTTAAACTATGTAAAAAAAAATGTTTAACATGGTTTTCACACATAAAAATGATCAGAACAAATATCAGAACGGTTAGCGTAGTTAGCATCTTTTATTTGTTTATGTTGTTTGTTAGCTTGTAACTGGCAGTGGCTGACACAGTGTTAGCGGTTGTGCTAATGCTAACTCTCTCTCTCTGTACTGACAAGGTTCCAGGTTTATTTAGCCCCGCCCCCAATCCCCACAAATTAACAGGATTGGTTCCTTAGGTTTGTGACGTATGAAACCCTGGCTGTCTGAATCTGTCAGTTTTTATGAGACTGTCATTGGTTCACTGCAGTGCAAAGTGGAAACACTCAGTCATGGTGTTGACTGATTATTTCACTCATCATATGTCTTGTGTTATATAAAAAAACATATGGATGTTAACAAGTTTAAACACTTGATTTTCATCTTTAAGTTACAAGAAGCACATCCCATTAGTCACGTTATATTTTATGGATACAGCCTGGTGTTGCCCATGTCTTTGCCTGTTCTTGGTTAGGGAAACAATTGAAAAAAGTTGGTCAATTGCTATTAACAGTTAAAACACAACTCTAAACCCTAAACTCTAAGTCAAGGTTCAGGATCCCTTTAGTGAATTAACCCTTTGACTCCCCATTCACCTTTAAATATAGAAAAAAATATCCAAATTGCACAATGCTATAAAATGCTCACAATATTTGATATCTACTTGCTTAAAATGTGATATGTGACTGAAATATTAAAATCCAAGATGCAACATTTTTGAGGGTGCAACATTCTGGCTGTGTCCTTTTGATATTGACCAACAGTCTTAATTAACTTGCTTAACTATGCTTACTGCACAAACCTCGCTACTGACTGACAGTGATGTCAGAGTGCTTGAAATGACTCTTTATGATGGCTGAAACAGTTTCACCTTTTTTGTCACATTTGTCTAGATTGGTCTCTTCTTGGATTTATTTGACTTATGCTACAGTCTTTTGAGGCAATGAACCAATATTTAAACAGCAGTGTCTAATGAATGTACTCACAGCAGAGCATTTTGGTCCTCCAGTTGTTGGGTTTGCCACCAGCATGGACACACTGTCTGGAGAACTCAGACACAGTGTTGCACAGGCAGAAGGGGTCTGCGCGTGTTTCTCCCCCGTTGCCACAGTGACAGAGGTCAGCAATACAGGCAGCGGTGAAGGCGCTGATGTCCAGCAGATTGTGACAGGTGTTGAAGGCTGGCCCTGTGAGGATCTGCTCACACAGAGGTTTCTGTAGGACAGATGGACGGACAGAGACAGGAGAGAGAGCAAATTGATTTGGCAGGCAAAGCAAAGACAGTGCAACATTAAACATTTCTGCATCAAAGGTGCACTAAGATTAGTGTTTTATCTATAGGGGGCTGTAGCTCTGTAACCAGATTAGCTGTGATTTAAGGTTTAGGACTGGTTTAAACCTCTGTTGTCTGGGTCAAAGTAAACTATACCAGTGGTTTAGTCTCAACCCACTCGCTGTGACCAACAGAACTTCCTAAACTCCTGTAGAGGTCACTGCATCTGAGGTTTAACTTAAACCTACAATGGAAATGGTTTATCTTAGGTTCAGTATAAAGACAGATTTACACAGTTAAAATCATTAATTTCTAAAATTTAATTTATTACCATATATGTTATTTTGAAGGCAACACTATACTTAAATGTCAAGTGTATGTTATTGTGTAATTAATGTTACTGATCACTGGTCACTGATAATCTGACAAACAGCAACCAGTTGTTAATGCATGGCCACAAGTCCTGTGCCTGCAAGAACAACATGTGGTCAGTTAACCACTAATGTTTAAGTCATAGACACAATGTTTGGTCACTGCAGCTTTAGTGTAAGTTAATACTGTATTCATTATTGATTATTGATACCACAGTAGACTGAAAATAAATGTGGGAAAATGTGCTTCAATACAATGTACATTTGACTGAAATGATTAAGACAATATTAGTAATGGTGGTGGTCAACTATCACATGTGCAAGTAGATGAATAGTCAAGTGGTCAACCTGTATTACTTATTAATGTTGTATCGATTCAACAAATCATTATGAAAGGTGACAATTTTGATAATCACTCATGCATCGTCCATGGTGTAACCCCACACAGATAAAATGCTGATAGGAATGATACTTGATGCAGTGCAATCTGGGAAGCATTTGCACATTTAAAATGTGGTAAAAGTAATTAAAGGTTCCCTGTGGAGTTTTAGACGATAGACGATTTAGATGTAGGTGAAACACCATCTATAATAATATGGCACCATTGGTAGAATGGTGTCACATTATTCTACTGATAAACAGGTGATGCTAACATGGCTGCTGAAATGCACCCACAAATGCAAAGAAGAATAATTCAAAATACTTAAAATACTTTAAAAAAATTTATGTTATGTTATGTTTTGTATTTGCGCTGGTTTGAGTCGAAGGGGACACATGACAGTATTCAGACATAACAAAGCAGGCTTTCATTATTCATGTTTTTTGGTTATAGACTCTTTATGTTGGCACTATGTTTGTCAGTCTTCTTCACTTCTCACCACTCTAATATGGAGGAAAAGCTGCTACTGGAACATGGTTTTGCTAAAACCAGTAGCAATCCCAGCTCAGCATATTAATCAAAGAGCAGTGATGAAGCCACTGCAGTGACACCACGAGATGTGAAAATAATGTACATGCAAAACAAATAAGGTGCTGGCCATGGTATACTAGTGATGCTGTATTGTGGAAAACGATTTTTTTCCATACAACTGGGTGAAGCCTCACCATGTCATTGCAGCTTTGTACTGATTCCAGTGTGTAGTCGGAGCAGCTTTCAGTGGGACCATCCATTTTCCAGAAGCTGGCGAAATCCATGGGGGAAAGTTTCACACCTGTTTGGACAATATCAAAGAATCAGCTCACTTCTCTGGCCACGCCCACACTGACGAACCCGTTGAAGTGAATGAAAGTGTACCATGACTGTAGAACTCGTTGTGCAGCTGGATCCCATTAAAGTCTCCACAGAGACCACAGGTTTGGTTCCTGTACTTTGAGTCTAGCTCCACCTGAGAGGACAAAAGCACACACACGTATAAAAATAAAATATACACATATATATATATATATATATATATATATACATACATACATATGTACACATAGCCATATGATCCTACCAGAAAAGAGTCCTCCTCGTTCCAGATAGCAACCAGTCCCAGGTTTGCTTTGATTTTGATGTAGGTAGGAGTTTTCTCGATGAACACTCCTGCTCGACTGAACGGTAAAGCAGCTCTGGAAAAAAAAACACACACGTCCCGTTATTTTGGCCATTATGTGTTTTCTAGCTTTTGCTCCTGCAGCCAACGTGAGGTTGTGAATGGAGCTGTCAGTTTTATCTAACCATGTCAGAGGAGAAATTCACTTCTGTGTCTGATGTCTTTAGCTTGTGACTATGTTGTTCTACTGATGATCATTTCAGACAAGTGTTTTCGGAAGGACACAAAGACAAATCTCAAGATCAGGTTCCATAAAACATCACAAAACATAAAGCAAAGATTTTCCTCTGTTCAATTCAATTATAACGCACATGATCTCAAGGCACTTTATGGGGTAAGATCAAGACCTTAGAATATTATAGAGAGAAACCCAACAGTTCTCATAAAGAGCGGCACTTGGTGACAGGGGGAGGAAAAACTCCCTTTTTAACAGGAAGAAACCTCCAACAGAACCAGACTCAGGGTGCCTCGACCGGTTGGGTTAAAGATTTCTTTTCCAACATTAATTTACATAACTAACCACAGTACTGAGAAACACCACAAACAGATTAGTGTTGTTTTTTTCCTCCGTTGTTAAGGGTGTGATATATTATTGCATGTGCTTAAATATGTACTATCCAGTGTGAAGCAATAGCTTTTACATTAAGAATGCAAGGGGTTTAGAGTTTTCAACTTACAAGTTGCCATCAATGACCACTGAGCCCTTGGACAGCTCCACCACTGAACCCTCCAGCTTCATGATGATGTTTTTGATGGTGGGATGACTGTCAGCCTCGTGTCTCCTTATCTGGATGTTGAAGTCATTGTAAGTGCTCCTGCATGAGGAAGCCAGGACATAGTTGCAGGTGGAGTGCAACTGGTAGACATCCCCATCAAAGGTCTTGAAGTGGAAGTTACCCCATGTACTGCAAACCTGGCCATTGTGGATGGGATTCACTCCTACAGGGACAAATCAGGACGTTATACCACAAAGGAGACCAATGTTTTACACAGGTATTTACTCACATGAATGAATGCTAACATAAAAAAAATTGTTTACAATCACTACCAACAACCAACAAGCTCACCTGTTATTTTCCCAGGAATCTGAGACATGGAGTTCACAGCATACTTTGCCTCTGTTGAGAGAAAGAAGAATAATTTGTCATGAAATCAATAATCACATCTCAAAATACATTAAAACAGAATAAGGATGAACTTTTTTCTGCAGCACATGACTGTCCTGTTTGTTATATGTGTCAGGCTGCCTACTATAATGAGTATAATGTATGTACCGCTCTGCCAAGCCGCTACGATGGCAGACAGGGTCAGCCATAGCAGCCACTTGTTTGCCATAGCCATTTGCTTCTCCACAGGAACAATGAGGAAGATGGGAGGGAGGCCCAATTCTTTATACTAAGGGGCAAGTCTTAGTGTGGCAGGTGAGGGAGTGGCATTCCCATAGATTCACGTGATTCATGACTGCTGCTCCTGCCCTATGTCTCATGTGTTTCCATGGTTCACTCTGCTTCATACACCTGATGTGAAGGATGAGGGTACTGAGCAAAAAGATGTTCACTTCATATCTATGATGCAGATAAACTGGTATGAATGTGGAATCAATGTCCACAATGATTTACAAACCAACATGGTGTTTTGTTTTGTTTTAGTCCGTCTGACGTGTTCTGGATCATACAGATTCATTACTTTCTTGATGAATACAACACACAGGAATGATGCACAGGAATGACGTAGAAACATGGTCACTCACAAAATAGATCTTTGAGATTACATTTGTTTTTACTTCACTACATAATAAAAAAGAAAATTACTACTTTAACTAAATTGCAGTTTCAAAGACTTCCTTTCCGAAAGATAGCAAACAGAGGGCTTAATGACTGTTTTATATTCTAAAACATAGTGTTAGATGTTTTACGTTCAATGGTGTGTCCAAAGACTTTATTTAACTTATTTACTAATTTATTTAACTTTGTTGTATGTTTTATATATTTATATTATATTTCTTTAACAGTACTCTTTTTGTCATAGGACCAATAGGGCGCCATCACATCCAAAAAGTGAATCAGTTCCACCAAAAAAGTTGTGCACTAACCAGGACTTACAAGATAAAACATTAGTGGAGAAGCTTCTCTGTCACGGAGCATGGGATCTTGTCAGTGAGGAAGAGGATAGTGAGAGGGAGGTGCACCAGTTCTAAGGGGTACTCAGGACCAGCAGCTACAAGGACTGGATAACGACAATCCAACCACAACTTTAGATCCGAAGTGACACTCACCAGGGACAATCAATCAGAGTCATCCCAGTGCAACTCCCTTACATCGCTGGACTGTCAAGCCATGAGGAGTGAGCACTTACCACAAACCCTTCAACACCTTAATGTCTCTGATCCCACCCCGAAGATAGAACCCTGGAGTGTTTATGACATCATCATGACATCATGTGTAACATGTCAATAACACTACTGGGGCAGAGGTAGATATCTGAAAACCTGCAACAGCATGGAAAAATACCACCAGAAGGAAGTGAGAAAATATTTTATTTTGTAATTTGGTTGAACTCAACCCTTTAAAACATGAACAGTGAGTCAAAAGGAACTTGAAGGGTCGGGGAGAAACACTGCTTAAAACTGCAACTCAAAACCTAACCTACGTCCTGTATTTGAGAAGATGTCTTCAGTTAGTTTCTATCTGAGGCAATGACGTGTAAGAAGGAAAGTAAAAGCTCAGAGCCTCAGGAGACGCCTTAGTCATTATCGAAGCTTCAAGTAGAAAACACCCACAACAACCAACTCTATTTTAGACGTGTAGGAGTTGACCATGGTAGTCTACGACCAATTATGGATTGAATATAAGGCTTTAGATCAATAGACTTCACTAAATACTCACTTGAGTGTTTGTATTTGCTTTGCTTTATCATATTTTGACTTAGGCAATAGAAGCTTGAACATATCCAAGGTGTGTTCAGATCTCTGAGTGATTAACACTGTTGCCTTTTGTTGTCTTATCACCAGCAGTCATCTTCAACAATAGCAAGACTCAACAGTGACTCAACATGAATGGAGAGCTGAGATTACTTAAATTCACTCCACTTCATTACAGATCCATTAGTATTGTTTTACCGTCCACAAAAAGGAGATTATGAGGCTGGGTGACGTGGGTTTGCTCTGTGCTGCACAGTTATGGGTGTAGCCCTGCTATCTACACAGCAATTGTTTTAAGTGCTGCTGTTTGAATCCTGTTGTTTCATAGAAGGTTCAATAAATCACACACACAACAGCAGCTCATAATACCACCTCAACCATGAAACATTATTCACAAAGAAGAAAAAATAAACAATAGTTTCTAAGGTTCAAAAGTCACTTTCCCGCCCCTGTGGTCTCAGGGTTTTATATGTGTGTTTCCCAGCAAGATACACAGCTGATGTATAAAAATGTTTCACTTAGGTCAGCTTTAATTTGAGATATATCAAAGTGCATGTCATGGTGAGACTGTCGGCCTCTAGTTTCGCAGTAGTAAGTAACAATAATGAAAACTCACCGACACTGGACATTTGAAAACTGGAAAAACATAGTCTGGTCTGATGAATCTGGATTTCTGCTGAGGCAGAGATGGTAGGGTCAGGATTTGGTGTCAACAGCATGAATCCATGGACATTTACCATTAACAATGACACTCTAGTGGCGCTGTAGAAACCTGTATTTACCTTCCTCAGTGTTGTTAAGCTTTCCTGGTTTATCGTCTGGACCTTAGTTGGAGCACAGCGGAGATGAGGAAACTTGAGTTGTCACATTTATTTACTGAGAAACAGCTTAAAGTGCACATACATTGCACTGTATGTTCAAAGCTAGACTGCTAACTGCTAATTAACTAGCTAGCTAACTTTCTGCTAAGTCGCAGGCATCACCTCTCTCTCTCTCTCTCTCGCCCGCTATGCACACATACTATGTACTGCTCTATTCCCAGAAGAAGCTATGCGACTTCTCTTACAATATTCTGTCTCAAACTTTTCCAAATTTACTGTGGATTTTTCAGAGATGATAAATCAGTGTAATTTGCTAATTTTTTTAACGTCTTAATGCTTAATGTGCAATTCTAGTTTCCACTTACATCTGCACATGCGTATAAAGCTGCAATATCATAAGTGAGCTCAGAACGGTAGAAGATGAGTCAAGGACAGCTTGACAAGCAGATATCGCCAGAGACAGTTGAGAAAGGAGATGGCTCACTTACAATTATTTCAAAATTTTTTATCCATAAGGCTAAAACATTTTTTTTTCATATGGCTTTTATACGGCTAGATTTATCAAGACCCCACCCATCTTCATGTGACATCATAATGAAATTCATCGCTATACCATCTCCCTGAAATTAATTAAATCCAAAACGTGCCAAAGAAGAAGATTTATGTTTTACTAGAAACTGACCTCACTAATAAAGTGCCTTAATATGTAAGTTTTTATTTTATGTAATTACTTTTTAGTAGTTAATTTATAATTTACTCTGTTTAATCTGTTTTAATGTTTGTTGTTGTTTTTGTAATTTATTGTTCTCAATACATTATTTTTCTATAAATTTCATAATTGCCTTACAGTTTGTAAATTTTAAATTTAACGATAAGAAACAAACAAACTTATAATTATTTCCTGTAACTGTGTCACGTGGGTTTCACAGATATGATTCTTTCACTCCATAGTCACTGAAATAAATATTGGATTAATTTTACACAATCCACAGATCTTCCAAACATTCCAAAATTAAAATGAAATTTTCAGACCCACAGTTCATGAGAAAATTTGTCACACCGCATTGAGGTCTAGTTGGGGTTTTGTCCCGTCTCCGTGTTTTGTCTTGTCATTTCCTGTTTTAGTTTGAAAAGTAACTCTCCTCTCGTTTCAGGTCACTTGCCCTTCCTCATGTGTCTCGGTCTGATTGCCCTCTGAGTGTTTTCACCTGTTCCCCTTGCCCAGTGTTTAAATAGATGGTGTCTCCCTTTGTCTTGTGCCAGTGTGTTTCGTCTGTGTGCGTACACCCCAGCTGTTCATCACAGCCCTTGTCATATTGTCCTGAAGTTTTGTGTTCTTCTTCCTCCAAGTGAGAGTTTTGAGTTGTAAGTTTATATCCTAGTTTAGTTTCATAGTTAAGGATTTCATAGCCTTTTGTTTCCTGCGTGTGGAGTGATCTTTTGTTTACTTACCTTTTATAGAGTAGAGCCTCCAGTTGGCTGGAGAGTTTTTATTTACAGATAATGTTTAATAGCCCATTGTGTTTTCCTCCTTTAGTGGAGAGATTATTATTTTGATATTTTTCATAGCCTCATGTATAGTGAGGGTTAGGTTTATAGCCTATTTATTTCTCCAATTGGAGGCGCTCTGACGAAACAATAAAAACAGTCAATTGAACCCTGCATCTGTGTCCGGAGTCCTTGCCTGGTCGTGACAAAATTAACTTCACTCAGATCTGTATCTGTCTCCGCAACACACTCTCACGAGATCTCGCACTGCTGTTTCACTGCTGCAGTGCTGCAGACGTTGAGGGACTTGTATGTGAAATCATGAATTAAAAGTTAAAACTGATTTAAACTTGTATTCCTTTTCTTGATAATACTTTTATTGTTATCATCATTTAACTGCTTTTGGAAGGAAAACAGTGAGTATTGTTAGACTGATATGTTCTTGTACTGAGTTGATCACATATTAAGCTTGTGTCACGTCATGTGGACCCTAATGGACCCTTGCATACTCACAGATGCAGAAAGTATAACATTGGCATTATAGTTAGGGTAAGAAACTCAGACATCTGTAGAGTTGCTGCTCACTTGCATCGAAAGGAGCCAGTTGATGTGGTTCGTCATTTCATCAGGATGCTTCCTTGGTGCCTTCCATTTGAGTTTTTCTGGGCACGTCTAACTGCTAAGAGACCACCGTGGTAAAACACACAGAGAGACTGGGAATCGTATCTGGCCTGGGAATGCCTAGGGATTTCCTGGGAGCTGGAAAATATTGCTGCGGAGAGGGATGTCTATCTACCTTGCTTGATGCTAGCACGACTGGACCTTGGATAAGCAGCAGAAAGTGGATTGATGGATGGATGGATGGATGGATCAATAATTTCTTCAGCCTATAGAGGTACAGATATAGTCTAAAACTTTATGCATCTAATTATCCTCTTTTAATCAAGAACTAAGACATCATTATTGGAATAATCATTTTTTCTGTGTATTGAGCAGGTAGTCTGACTCAAAATTTAGTTACACAATCATGTCAACATGGACCAGAATGAAGGGCGTGGGGCTTGGCCTGGTGTACATTTTGACCTTCATATTATTTGCATATGGTG